GAGCCAATAGTAACTTTTACCTGGAATGAAACATTTGCTTAGTAATTTAATTGGCTACCAATAACATTGCAAACAGGGTGAGGTTGAGTTGAGTACAAAAATAATTTTAACATAATATCAATGCAAAGTGATGCCATTTCCTATTAAAGCGTTAAAACAGAGGGGTTAAAATGAGATGGGGACATATTTTCATTCTGAAACCGCATGTATTCCCTGTGTTTGTGCATTTCAAAAGCTGAAAACCATAGAAACATGTGCAAACATTAACTTGTGGCATGAACACCAATACACCAATGGCAACCAGCTGTACTGTAATTTTCCACTACATTGTGTTATTGTTAAAACTGCAGCACAAGTTCTACCAAGACAGGAAACTTTAACACAGGACAATGAATGTTCAGTAGACACATGAAAGTGTTTGACCCTGACTCTCTCTATAAGTAAAATAAAAAGATAAAACCAGGATTCTGTCAGTCAGGTGATTCTCATGGGATCATTTTATGGATTTAGTTAATTTTGTTTTATTTCAAATTTTAATTTTGATTAAATTTGATGAATTTAATAGTTAAATGATAATGATAATGTAATAATAAAAATGTTTCTCCTTTTGTAGAACCTTTTTTGGCACAAAAAGGACACCGACACTATTGAACCTTTTCTTCTTAGAGTGTGAATGAAGGATTTACTCCCCCATCTTTCAAAAGTCGTGACTATTACAAGCTTGTGGCTTTTGGTGCAAAGCAAGAAAAGACCATGAAGGATCAGGGTTTGGGGATGATGGATTTTGGAGGAACAGAAAACAGAATAGCGTCTTGAAATCATGCCGGGAAATACAGTCTGTAATGGCAAAAGTCTGTAATTCACTTTATAGACACGTTTCTTCACAAATAAACTGATCTCAGGAGTAGTGTTCAATCAACTGAATGCAAACTGTGCTTATAAATAGAAAATGGTTCAATGGTTGCATAGGTGTGGTTACATTTAAACATGCAGTGTTGAAAATATTTGTTTTAAATAAAATATAAAACCTCCATCTGCATAAACTTGGAAGAGGACCGTATTTTGTATTCTAACACTAAATTGGTCTTTTAATAGAATCGTGCTTTTAGAATGGGCCAAAGTGTTCCGTTGAATTAATTTTATGCCTTTTCATCTGTGGACTCATTTATGGTTATTTCTTCTCATTATTCTCATTATGCTGAGCTCATATGAAGAACAAACCAAAGCAATATGTGGGGGAGACCAAGCAGAACTGTTCTCCTTCTCAATTAATTTACAGACCGAGGCAAAACTCACCCGGGGCTTTGCAGAAAGCCCGAACTTGTTATTCTGTGCATGTGTATAAATGAAAAATGATGTGAGCGAGAATGGATGATATTTAATGCCAAATGCTCTTAGATATCAGGCTAGATCGTCTTTACAATTGAAGAGTTCAGATGCAAAAGCCACTAAATGCCATTTGAAATTTTCATCTTTAATGATGATTTTTATCAAACTTGTATATTTAAGTTCAGTAATTTCACTTAAATAACAATTAATAGGTAATTATCATTGACATTTAAGTGAAATTACTGAACTTAAATATACAAGTTTGATAAAAATCATCATTAAAGAAGAAAATTTCAAATGGCATTTAGAGGCTTTTGCATCTGAACTCTTCAATTATTAAAGGGGTCATCGGATGCAAAATTCACTTTTATATGGTGTTTGCATTTGCATATAAATGTGTCTTTGTGGACACAACCAGAATTCAAAATGCAATAATTATATTGTTAACAAATAACTTTAATAAATTATCAGTAAATGTTGAAATTAATATTAACTAAGATCGATAAATGCTGAAGTATTGTTCACTCTTATAGTTTATCTTAACTAATGAACCTTATTGTAAAGTGTTATAATCAAAATTTCATTTAATTCATTAAAAACATTGTATGTTATAATAAAATTAGTAATGTTATTGTTTATAGCTATGTTGCTTGTAAAATTTGTTCTTCAAAATATGCTAAATTGGCTTTTGGGTGAGGACAGAGATGACAGAAACTGACAAAAAGATTATATAACATAAAAGCTAATAAGTTATGGGAAACTCTCACAATATGTACAATACTAATGCTTTGTCAACACACTTAAAAGCTCTCTTTTTCAATAAATACTTCATGACCTCCACCAAAACCCAGCTGGATCCGTCACCACTCCTCATAGCAGGATATCATAAAGAAATCCAAAATAGATCAAAACGGATGATATGTTAGCAAGTTTCTCTGACGTATATGAACTCAAAATTACTGTGTTTGGTTTGCTAAGCCACAATAAAGCCCACATTTAATCAAATATGTTGTTTGATCTGAAAAAGTAGATGCATTGTTCAAGACACATTGTCACTTTATGACTGCTTCTAAGTTCTGAAGGCTTGTGTAAGAGGTCAGGGAGAGAGCAATAGGGGTTAAAGATGGAAGTGGATTTTGTAAAAGGGAGCATTACTGTCTTGTTGCAGCCTCAGCACTCCTTTTATGAGGACAGCCAGTGGCTGTCAGCTTGGCAATGCTCCCTGGATTTGATCTAAGAGAGCAAGAGTCCATCCCAAGCCCCTTCCACCCCCCGAAATTATTCGGCCCAGTTACGCACACCTTATGCCAGGCCTCTCAAAAAGACAGATCATGAGATCAGCTCTGCAGAGGACGCAGTCTTTCACACAGGATCCTTTCTGGGGAAGAGGTTAGTTTGAAGAGAAAGAAAGCGAGAGGCAGATAAAGTCGCAATGGTGCCACGTGCAAGCGAGTTGTCAGACAGTGCCCTCATTCCCGGCTCTCACAGATAAAGACTTCCTCTGATGGATTCACTGTCAATCACAGCCGCTCCAAAAGAGGCTTTGAAGATGCAATCAAATTCTCTTCAGGGTCATCTGTAACTGGCACTCTCCTGCGAAAATGGTATTCCACGTGGTTTTTTTTTTTGTTGTTTTTTTTTTAAGCATTAGAAGCAAATCCATTATGTTTCAATAATATTGGGTCATTTAACATAAAATGAACATAGCATGAAAATGTACTTTGCATTCGTCTATGTAAATGTTGAATAATCAAACAATGAAAAAATAATTAAAAGATAGGTTACATTTTATTTTACAGTGTCATTGATACGCATGGTACATGTTTACTGTAGTAGTAATAACTAATTATGCATAATTAATACAATTAACCCTAAACCAAACCTTCATCCTTACCCTACATGTAGTTAATTATTATTATTCAGTACTAAAATGTATAATTTCACTGTAACACTGACATTTTAAAATGAAGTGTTACCAAAAATATTTTATGGAAAATATAAATAGTATCTGCAAGTAAAAATCCACATTTGGTCCCAAACAAGCTAATCTTATATTATTTAACCTAAAGCTTAATTGAGCATGTTTACTGTTACCACTATTTGTCATAGTTTTAATATCAATTGCAATAAAATATAGTTTTAAACTCCATTATAACATGCAAACCTCCAAAAATTATTAGATAATTATTAGAAATAGAAATGTCAACATAATAATATTTAGTAATTAATGCTGTCAAATTGATTGCTCATGATTAATTGTATCTTACATAAAATTGTGTGTGTGTGTGTGTGTGTGTATATATATATATATATATATATAGTAAATATACTAATAGTATTATATAGGCCTAATATATATTAATATAATATAATATTATATATATTAGATGTGATTTAATCAATTTTACAGCACTGTTGGCAATATTGTGTATTGTTTAGCATATAATAATAATTATATTTTAATTGAATATATCATTATTAATAATGATAAATATTAATATTAATAAATATTACATATTGAAAGATTACATCAATTATGTATATATATTACTATACATCTTTTAATATATAAAATCAATTTTGTATTATAAATAAATGTATTTTTTTTATATTTTTTATATATTCAGCTAATAGTTTAATTGAGACTTCTCTCAGATTTCTCTCATTTATTTTGTATTAATAAATATTACATATTTATAGATTACATCAATTATCTATATATATATATTACTATACATCTTTTAATATATAAAATCAATTTTGTATTATAAATAAATGTATTTTTTTTCAATATTTTTTATGTATTCAGCTAATAGTTTAATTGAGATTTCTCAAGGTCAAGCAACAAAACATTTCAGCAGTCGCCACATCCCCTCTGCTCTTTATCAGCAGAAGGACACTAGCGCTCTCAGCCTATGGAAATGAACGGCTTTGGCATTTGAATGTCAGGGTGATATAGGTAGATGTACATTATATAAACCACTAGCCTTGGAGAAGGGGGTGGGGGAAATTTTGGCAAACTGTCATGTTATGCAAAACGGTTAGTGTGATGATGAAGTCAACTCGACTGGGGCAAAGAAGCTGAAAGAAGATGAGTTTGGGGCCATGATATCTCCTCATTTCCATAGTAGGTAGTCTCTAAGGTGACATCAAATCCAAATATCACATTCCCTCATTAAAGCAGCAGGCTGATCGAGAGAGAGAGTCTGGCTGCTTTGTCACACTCTGGGACAGAAATGAGAGGATAAAAATGTGTGTGTTATAATCTATATCTCTAAATCATGCTGCAGGACAGAGTTCCACTGACTTGCATTACCACAAATCTGTTGCAGTCCTGCATAATTGTTGTTTTTATGGTAATGCATCTAAGCACTGTGGTCACAGTGGATCATAAAATATTCTTTCCTAAAAGTTTTTGTTTTTAAATGTGATGATGGTAGGTAGATTTGCTAAACTATCAGCATAGATCCTCATGTCTAAATGTCAATGTTAGTTTACAAGAGCCATTTCCTGCGGCTGAGCTGTGATGTGTTTCACTAAAACCACAACAGTGAAGGAAAGCCACCTAAAACAAAATGACCCATGCAAAAATCTTTTTCCCCAACACATTTTTCCTTTATTGTGAAATCTTTCTTGTATCTCCAGAGCTGTGTATATTTTTGTAATGTCTGTATTTGAGAGCATTTTTGAATATAGCCAAGGAATATAAACTCTCATTTACTTAAAATCCATATGTTTGTCAATATTCATGAACTGCCAACATTCATAGAGACTTACAGACTGCTATAAACACACAAACAACGATTGCACCCCCATTCAGATTCAGGTTTCAATAAAATGTGAAAACATGAAAGATAAACAGTGTTTCAAAAATATACAGCACATTTGGTCTGATGATCATCAAACATGTTATACAGATACAGAAATGTTTCAGATCAATCAATATAATGAATCAAGCATTTCCAATGGATTTAAATGTACTTTTTTTTTTTTTTGCATACAATGGATTCCTATAAAAAAACGTGGCTTGAGTCCTTTGTCAATTGTAATAGTTGCTCAAAATGAGTGACTTGCTTTTAATGGAGTTTTTTGAACTGGTCTTCACAGCGGGATGTAATGCAGGACATCACATGCCAGTGAGGTAGATAGTATTTTGATTTCAAATGTAGGAAAAAAATTATAAAATGCTGAAAAAAAAAAAAAAAAAATCCTTCGAGTCATTTTCACATTAGACCTGATGATATGTAACTATATCAGGTAACTATAAAAGCCAAGCTCACACTACACAAATGTCAAACTCTTCTAGTGTTGACAAACACTACTGTTCAAAAATTTGGGGTCGGTATTTTTAAATGTTTTTGAAAGTCCCTTATGATCAACAAGGCTGCATTTATTTAATCAAAAATACAGTAAAAAAATATGGAGCTCCTAAACAGACATAGGCTATGTCCAAAATCTACCACTACTCACTATATAGTGGGCTATATAGTGAGCTCGCCATTTTGTAGTGCTGTCCGAATGTATAGTGATGATTATTATACCCTATATAGTCCATTCAATGTATCCCAGAATGCATTTTGAAAAGTAGTATACAACCGATGGTCACTAACCCAAGCCCTACATACCGTCATGCATTGCGCTGAAAAGACGGACGGGCGACAGCAATGACGTAATCGACGGTGCCGAGAGACGATCGAGTAGTGTCTGAAAGTGGTGTTTCTATTATTGCTGGTGAGGTCACTATATAGTACTCTACTCCCTATCCCCCTACATAGGGGGTAGGGGCACCAAGAGATGATCGAGTAGTGTCTGAAAGTGGTGTTTCTGTTATGCTGGTGAGCTCACTATATAGTGCTCTACTTCCTAGGGGCGCCGAGAGACGATCAAGTAGTGTCCAAAAGTGGTGTTTCCATTATGCTGGTGAGGTCACTATATAGTGCTCTACTCCCTACCCCCTATAGGGTAGGGGCACCGAGAGACGATCGATAGTGTCTGAAAGTGGTGTTTCTATTATGCTGGTGAGCTCACTATATATTGCTCTACTTCCTAGGGGCACCAAGAAACGATCGAGTAGTGTCCGAAAGTGGTGTTTCTATTATGCTGGTGAGGTCACTATATAGTACTCTACTCCCTATCCCCCTACATAGGGGGTAGGGGCACCAAGAGACGATCGAGTAGTGTCCGAAAGTGGTGTTTCTATTATGCTGGTGAGGTCACTATATAGTGCTCTACTTCCTAGGGGCGCCGAGAGACGATCGAGTAGTGTCCGAAAGTGGTGTTTCTATTATGCTGGTGAGCTCACTATATAGTGCTCTACACCCTACCCCCTACATAGGGGGTAGGGGCGCCGAGAGACGATCGAGTCGTGTCCGAAAGTGGTGTTTCTATTATGCTGGTGAGCTCACTATATAGTGCTCTACTTCCTAGGGGCGCCGAGAGACGATCAAGTAGTGTCCAAAAGTGGTGTTTCCATTATGCTGGTGAGGTCACTATATAGTGCTCTACTCCCTACCCCCTATAGGGTAGGGGCACCGAGAGACGATCGATAGTGTCTGAAAGTGGTGTTTCTATTATGCTGGTGAGCTCACTATATATTGCTCTACTTCCTAGGGGCACCAAGAAACGATCGAGTAGTGTCCGAAAGTGGTGTTTCTATTATGCTGGTGAGGTCACTATATAGTACTCTACTCCCTATCCCCCTACATAGGGCGTAGGGGCACCAAGAGACGATCGAGTAGTGTCCGAAAGTGGTGTTTCTATTATGCTGGTGAGGTCACTATATAGTGCTCTACTTCCTAGGGGCGCCGAGAGACGATCGAGTAGTGTCCGAAAGTGGTGTTTCTATTATGCTGGTGAGCTCACTATATAGTGCTCTACACCCTACCCCCTACATAGGGGGTAGGGGCGCCGAGAGACGATCGAGTCGTGTCCGAAAGTGGTGTTTCTATTATGCTGGTGAGCTCACTATATAGTGCTCTACTTCCTAGGGGCGCCGAGAGACGATCAAGTAGTGTCCAAAAGTGGTGTTTCTATTATGAAACATTTCTTATTATCAATGTTGAAAACAGTAGTGATGTTTTATATTTTAGTCGAAACTATGATACTTTTTTGGGGATTCTTTGATGAATAGAAAGTAAAAAAGCTTTTACTCAAGTATAAATATTTTTGTCCCTTTTTGCCACGCTCTATGACACTTTTGATCAATTTAATCCATCCTTGCTGAATAAACATTAATTTCTTTCAAGAAAAAACTGATCTCATGTGACAGCAGACCTCACAAAATTTCAGAGTTAAATTGCTGTAATGTGAGCTTGGTAAACAACAATTCGTTCCACAGACAGACGGTCAATCTGCATGTTGCCTTGCGACACAGAAAGCGCGATATTTTTTTGGCGTCCTTCTGAAGTATTTTTGCTGGCCAGATTTGATCTAAATTATTCATTAATGTTCTTTAGGGAACAGCAATGTCACACTCACATTTGCACTTCTGTACTGAATCACAGTAAAAGGAATTAACCACGTTTTACAATTTGTTTCCATTATTGCAACAGAGTCTCTTCATATTGGTCTCTTCAAAATGCCCACACATTGGTCCTGAAGTTGACAAAATGCTTTAAAAACGAATCACATATAAAAAAAATCATAAACTCCACTTTAGAGAATCAGCTCTTGGTCTAATCAGTAGGATAAGAGATGATCTGAAGAAGAGTGGTCAGCACAGAAGCCATGTAACTGAGAGAAGAACGGCTAGCACTGGGGAGATGTGGCTGAGAGAAGAGGAGCCGGAGTTTGCACGGCAGTGGTCTTTGTTTTGGCCGATGCACGCGGCGTAGGCCATGACGTGGGGAATGTAATGCTGCTCCTGGACTCCATGAAGAAGATGAGCCATGGGGCCTTTGGAGAAGATGGCCACGTCTTCACCGCCATGAGTCTCGGAGCGCAAGGGAACGGCAGACTGAGCCAGATAGTTGTTTTGCTCTGTAAGGCAGAAGAAAGGAATTTTTTTTATTGTAATAAAATATTTTTTTATTTTTATTTTATTTTATTGACTATTACTGTACTTCATTTTATTTTTTATTCTAAATTGTTTTAATTATTTACTGTATTTTATTTTTATTATTATGATTTTTTTTATTCTAAACTGTTTTAATTATTCTGATTTCTTTTGATTATTTTAATTTCTTGAATGTAAAGCACTTTGAATTGCCACTGTGTATGAAATGTGCTATATAAATAAACTTGCCTTGCCTTGCCTTGTAATTTGTTCATATTAATCTTAATATCGTATTAAAATTAAATTACAATTAATTTAATATTTAATAAGAACAGTTTACATTTAGTTAAATATTAATGTGAATATTAACAAATTACAATTAAATGAAATGCTTTTGGGCTACTTGCCATTAAGAGAAATAAATGAATAATAATATATTTATATTAAAACTTTAATATTTATGAAACACCTTACTTTAGTTAAATGGTAACATGAATATTATCAAATCAAAATTAAATGAAATTTTCAATGATTAAGAGAAATATATTATAATTCTATAAAAGAATTATTCCGATTAATATTACGTTTAATATATTAACCAATTAAAATGAAAACAATAGCATGTATACTGAAAGTATTTCTCAATAATTAAAACTAAAATCCTTTTATTTACTTTATTTAACACTACTAATATTAAATGATTATTAGCTAACTAAAATTAAAACAGAATTATGTAGCCTAAAAAAGCATTTCTCAGTAATTAGAAAAAAATATATTATTGATTACAATATATGAGCAATAAAAAACAAAATGAATAATAAAAATCACTTCCTTTTTCGAATAATAAACAGTAAGACAGTCAACAGTACCAGTAAATCAGAACACAGAAAAAAATAAAGCAGTGAGTTTTCTATATTTCTGTCTACTTGTCAATACAATATAAAAAAAATGGTACAGTTCCATTTGTCTTTGTTCTGGAATATATGACATCCCCAGAAGAGTGTCAACAGCAGGGATGACAATGAATGTCTCTTCATTGTTTTTGGATTGTGTTTTATCAGTGAAAACAGAAATTGAAAGAGTCAAACCTATGCTGTGGAATAGTAATGAGACAAACAGGGAGAGAGAGTGATGGGGAAGAAAATGAGACAAAAGAATGACCAAGCCAGAACAATAGCCATAATTCTATGGCTTGTCAAACAGGGGAAGAGGAAGAAATATGTGTGGTGGGAACAGACAGATTCACTTTATCATCATTCAACTACCACTGAGTTTGACATTCAGGGCGCTGTTACACTAGAGTTGACACTGTTTCAGAGAACACTGCCGTCCCGTTCCATTCAACAAGTCTCACATTAAAACAAATTACATCAAATTATGTCAAATATAATGTAAACTACCGTTCAAAAGCTTAAAGTTGTAAGTTTTTTAATGTTTGTGAATGAAGCCTCTTGTCCTCATCAAGGCAGTTTGATGAATTGTAAGCATTTCAATCCATCAAGATTACATTATGGAATGTACATCATCAGAGGCTTTTTACATTATGTTTTAGTGGCTATGTAAATGAGTTTTAGTGAAATCCATTCAGCCGATTTTCTGATATTTAGAAGAATATCAGTAACCAGACAGTTTCTGGTCTCATTGACTTCCATAGTAGGAAAAAAAATATACTATGGAAGTCAATGAGACCAGAAACTGTCTGGTTACTGATATTCTTCTAAATATCAGAAAATCGTCTGAATGGATTCAAAAACGGTAAAACTCAACTGTTTAACTCTGGGGGAGTTGTAAAATGAGCCTATTTCCAAAAAAAATATCCCTTTAAAGGTTATTTATGTAACCCTCATTCCCTAAAGAAATTAAAGGAGATGTGACGTTGAACGTGACCGACTGAAAGGGAACCCACACTCTAAAAATGCTGGGTTGTTTTAACCCAACTTTGGACAAATATGGACAAACCCAAACGTTTGGTTAAAAATGTAATTAAAAAAATGTAACCCAATGTCTGGGTTTGTCCACATTTGACCCATAGTTGGGTTAAAACAACCCAGCATGTTTTAGAGTGTAACATTCCAAATCTCCCAAAAGTAGGTCCCCAGGCACAACCAGGAAGCGATAAACCTGTAATTACTTTGTAATTACTTACCGTAGTCCACAGTTGAGACATTTTCTCTAGAACCGTTAACATACTTGAACCCTGGGCCATTTCCGTACAAAATGGATGTGAAGGGCTTCTGGTCAATATCACTCAACATGGGGGCCAAACCTGCGGAAAGGATTTTGAAAGCACTGAGTCTGGGCCATGAATCACCAAGAAATCATTCGGTAATTAAACTGCTCCCAACATGCCTTGAGCCTTCACTGCCTACCAAAGATTGAGTTTCCCCGAGGTGTGTAGCCTCCAAAGCTGAAGACATGAGAGTGATCAGCCGTGACGACGGTTAATGTGTCATAAACGCTGGTGAGGAGGCCAGCTCGAGTAATGGCCCGATCCATTTCCACGGCCTCGTGTAAGGCCTGCTTCGCTTTGCCCTCATGGTGTCCGTGGTCAATGCGCCCACCTGTCATCGGACAGCCCGGTCAGAGGTCTCATATAAACATGCATTCATTCTGTAAATATCTTTCACTTCAGTAGACGAAAGGGTTGTTATAGTGCCAACACCTGACAGCTGCTGAGCTGTTATGGTGCAGCTTTTAAAATTCATTTTAATTTCACTTTAATTTGATTAATAAGTGGTTGATTTTGACATTTTTGTCACATTGCATTTCTACAAGCAAACCGAGGCAATCATCAAATTAATTAATTCAACTCTGTCACCATCCAAATGTTTAATGAGATTAATATTTAAATACTGCAGTTTATACTATGTTTGTAGTTTAGTTACATAGATTTGTGTAGCTGTGAAATGTTTTTATTTTTCTTGTTTGTTTGTTTTTTTAGATTTTTTTTGATCATCGTCTTTGCTGTTTTCATGCTACATAAATACTACATTTCTTAAATACATTTTAAACTGGTAATATAGTTAAATATTTAATTAAAACAAACACACAAACATATATATACATACATATATGTGTGTGTGTAATGTATATATATTTCTCCAGAAGGAAACACAATGTATTAAGCAGGGGGTGAAAAGATGACCAAATTGTTCATATTTTCTTTAAATATATTTTTTTCAACTTAGTACTGCCCTTCGGAAGCAACAGAAGATGGTTACATGTTTCCCGGAAGGCAAATTAAGTACAATTTAATGCATAGTTTCTCCTTCTGGGGCATCAGTGAATGTTTTAATCTTTTTAAATAGTTGCGTTTGAGTCCCTCAATTGTCCTCGGTGTGAAAAGATGGATCTCAAAATCGTACAGTAACAGCTGGAAAGGCTTAAAATATTCTGAAAAACTGAAGACCTTGCAGAAATGTCTGTTTTCTGCAGAACATTGGGCAGTTTAACAGCTCACAAACAAGGGACTCAAGAACAACCATCACAAAACAAAAAAAAATGGCACAGTATTAAGAATCAAGGTTGTGTAAACTTTTAAACAGATTTAATTTTTATAAGTTCAGCTATTTTGCAGATTCTGCAAGGTGTATGTAAACTTTTGAGCACAACTTTTTAAAATAGCTTCCCCAGCAGCACTAAAAAAAGCCAAATCGATACTAGGTTAATTAGATGTTAATATGACCTTCCGTTGCACATCGGCGGTCTAATGAATAGTGATGTACACTATATTTTACCTTCCACCAGCAAGTAGAACCCTCGTTCATTTTTTTTCAGGATCTTAATGGCCACGTCTACCATCTCCGTGAGGGAAGGGTCAGTTTCTTGGTTTCTCTCAAGCTCATAGGACAGGTCTGCTGGCTCAAAGAGACCTGCAGCGCAAATAGAGCAGGAATTCAGTAAATCATTGGGTTACACTTTATTTTATAGTGTCCTTGTTACATGTACTTAACATAGAAATAACCCTCACCCAAACCTTAATCCAACCCTATAGAAAAGTACATGTTGTTAAATAATATTAATCAGTATTTATATATAATTACACTGCAACACTGTACATGTGTAACAAGTTCTGAGTAATTAACTACATGCACTTACTATAGTGTTATGGTAAGTGTTAGGGTTAGTAACTTATTAGTAAGTTATTACTATAGTGAATACATGTTGTAGTAACGTGTAACTAAGTCACCTTAAAAAATAAAGTGTCACCAGACATTATCTCAAAAAAGGTCACAACCAGAATGTTAATGAAACTCACCCAACAAATAATCCACATTATTTGGATTCAGGGAAAGGAGATCCTTCTTGTTCCAAACATAGTAACCTCTCTGATTGCACAAAGGTTTAGAGAGAAACAACAAATAGGTTAGAGAAATAGCGGTGACCTCTTACATTTAGATGCTTTATAGAATGTATGACAAAGCTATGATCCAATATCTTGCAACCAAATCTCTGTAATCCAGTCTCACAGCAAGTAAAAATTGTCTTCATCTGTTATTAAGTGCAGTGCACAGCTGTAAAGCCTGCTTTAGAGGCCTCAAGAGCTTCAATAAAGTCAATAAAGAGGGCATCATCAAAATGCACAAATACACTGCCGGAGTCAGGCAAACACAGAGAGAAAATAAAAAAAGACTTGTCAGCAGAGGCATAGCGTGGAATGTTTTTTTCTTTTTCTTTTTTCTGAAAGGAATTGAGCATGACATTATAAATGAAAAGATGAAATGAAGTGACTGTTTTCACCTTATCCTTCATTCTGTCAATCCACTCCCCCACAAGGTTTCTGCCATCTTTGCGTGTACCGTTGTGTTTCTTGTCTCCTGGGTATTCCACATCTGGTGTGTTTTTGGGGTACATATATTTCCGCCCACCCCCCATAATTACCTGCCAATCCAAAAAGAAAAACATCACATTTTTATTGTACACACGCCGATTTAAACCAAAATAGTTTAAATGTAAACACATTATGATGTTAAATACAGTAGAAATATTGAAGATTCTGCACTATTAAAATGTATGCAGCTAAAATAATGAGTAATTAGTACTTTAAATATTTTATAAATATTATGTAACAAAAATAATAATAGTTATTTTTATTATTAATATATTTCTAAAATATATATAAAAACTCACATTAATGTCAGGGATATTTTCAAAGAGTTGTCTGGCAATGTCTTTGCATCCACTCTGCAGCGCTTCCGCTGGCATCTCCCCGTCTGAATACCAGTCCCGATCTACACAGTGGGCATACGAGGCACTCGGTGTGGCATGATTCACTCGTGTTGTTGTGACGATTCCCACTGATTTGCCTGAGGAAAAATACAGATAGGTGCAACTGTTAATTGTTCAATATAATCACTATATCTATATTCTAGTTGATTACTAAATCAACAGACGGACTGGCAGAAAACTAACGTAAGTATGCACTGCATCAGCCTAGAAATGTTGTATTGGACAAGGAAACAGTTGATTTAAAGTCATGTTGTCTGGCTAAGGTCAAGCAGTTCTATGGCACACTATTTTAATGCATTCTCTGAGCACAAGCACTCAAGTGAGAGAGCATTTTCCCCTGTACTCACATCAAATCAGGTTATCAGTTTGACACTGATTAGACCGTCCGCATTTTAAACCTCTCAGCTGGATTTTAAAATGTTTATTCTGGTCATGTTGAGCAAATTCCACTCGGCTACGTTCACCTCTACCTTCAGCGGAGGACTTCCATCTTATAAAACGCTTCATTTGTTTTTATTTTCAACATGAGAATAAAATATGAGAAAGCCGCCTGCGTGCTGCGCTCAGTCAAACTGTCACCCTTCTGATTTATTCCTCTTACTTCAGATAAGGACGTGTTTTCCACTTTCTGAAATCTGCTCGACTGGTTTTTTTTTTGTGCAAGTGTCACCTTTGTTTCTCTCATGCAAAAATAAGCTAATGGATTGCTAGCAAAAAAAAAAAAAAAAAAAAAATGAGACCAGAAATATCCCATCTATATTCTAATTACAATAGAAGTCGGGATAGAGGCATTATAGCCGCGGTATGAGAGGATTCAATAGAGCATCTCACCCGACTCTTTGGCCCATTTAAGAATGGAGGTGACCTCGTTCCCCTGAGTGGTGTTGCACTGGGATTTTACAGATGCCGCGCTCACTCCAACCGTTCCCTCGTTGGCTTTGACCCCACACAGATATGCCGTGGCAGTGCCTGCACTGTCTGGTACCTGAGCATCGGTGTTATATGTCTGGGGGAAAAACATGCACAATTTTATTAGCTGAAGGGATTATTTCAGCAGAGCATTTATAGTGGAGCTGTGCATAAAGCCAATTGACAAGAGAGCACATAGCACAAGGAATACAATACAAGACAACATGACAAACTGGGAATGTCAGAGCTCTCTCAACAAACGAGATCAACCAATCAGATGTGACAGAACCCTGACAGAATCAAACTATGATTTATATCTGTTCTCTGTGACCCGGGGTGGGCGACTGCATGGATTATGAACACAAAGGAATGGCATGATGGGATTACAACACAAGGGATGTACCTTAGAGAGGGCAACATAGGGGAATTTGTCCATCTCCAGTTGTGTTTCCTCACCACTCTGTCCACTCATTTGACCTTTTAGAATCCGTGCTGCTGTGACCGTAGATACACCCATACCTACCGACAACAAAAGTTGCCATGATTAAAACAGACTATTTTTAACCAAAAATAAATCAAAATTATGCTTTCCTTCAAGCACCATCTATCATGAATAACATGGTCTGATATTACCTGAGAAAGGAACAAGCCATTCTCAAATTAATTCTTGAAGTTTATTCAGAAAAGTGAGATGAAATGACCACTTGTCATTTAACCACCTGCTATTCTTAAAAGCTCAAGGACAAAAGAGTTCAGTTAAAAGTCTCAGGCTTGCAGAACTGTACAAAACTCTATAAGAAGAAATGTTCAAAAAGCACAATCCCATCTGTCTTCAATTCTTATACTCGTAGAACGCTCAAAATTAAATGATAAAATATTACACAAAATGCAATGTGTTAATGCAATATGCGGGTTGTGTGGTTTGAGTTGCAATTATGAATTGAAACCGTATCCAAAATACTATGAACTAAAAAAAAGAGCAATTAAATCTGAGTAGTCTAAATGTTATGCAACCGTTTATTAATTCACCTTGACATCTTGTATAAAATATATTCCAAGCAATCTTCATAACTTTAAACTAGAACTATAAAAACAAGTAATCAATTTCCAATTATTCGTTTGAATGATATTGACTCTTAAAACCCCAAGATCAATCTTGCCAGCATTTTCATAGTCAACCGGCAAATTACGTCATATTTGATCCATGTTTGCAGTCTGAATTGAATGCGATGAGATGAAAAGACTGTGTACTGCAAAATAATGGCAATAAACGTTTTTATTGAGTTGTCCTTGTGGGCACATAACAGTGCTACCAGTGTAGACCAATTCATGAACAAATGGCTCTTTTAATATGTTTTTAGTGAATGAAATGCACACAGTGTGCCGATCCTTCTAATGTATTATATAAATCAGTTACCATTTGAAGTAAATCCTTGAATGAACTTAACATCAAAGGATTTATATCATCTACAGGATTACAAAACCTATATGAAAATTCAGAAGTCTTTTCTGAACTTGGTTGGCTGACCTCCAAGAAATTCACAAGTCACATTGTCATTTTAATAATCTTAATGCATGAACCAACAGGTCAACTGATCAAAATCTTCTCGTATCTCTATTTCAACAGTCGCTTCTAGAAAATCTCGTATGTGAAATCATCCATTTTGTAGCAAGTATGTGTTTATTAGGTTTTAGGTTTTGTAAACTCAGGTGTTTTATACCAGCATTGCTTTCCTTTCATATGGATGTGGTGTACAATAAGCTAAATTATTTCCAATAAATATTATGATTTTTATTGTTACTGAGATAATCTTAATTTTTCAACCAGAATAAATCAAACTGCCTCTTCCCTCTATCCTTTTTTTGCTTAACCTCTCTTTGATATACATTGAGCTTTCAAATTTGTCCAGAAGAAACCTGACATTCAACCTGACATTAACTGTGGTTAATTAGCTTATTTCTCATTAACTTGATATCCATCACTACCCGTGTTAATGCTTAATTTTGAGTCAGGTTCATCCAGTGTAGTGGTGCTTTTAAAAATATTTAACTCTTTTCATTATACCTAGTATTGCACAAACAGTTTTCAAGGCTTGGTTGAGCAAAGTAGATTGATATTGTTTAAAAGAACAGAAATTAAAATTATTTTCAATTTACGGTCCATAATTTAGAACCTGATAAATATCTCACGGTAAAAAATCCACAAGGATCCATGAATGGCGTGACTTACCATCACCAAGAAAAAGGATGACGTTCTTGGCAACGTTCTTGTTGAGCTCTTGGAGGTCCAAAGCATTTTTCAGTGTGCGCTGAGCCCAACCCTTCCAGAAATCAGGGTCTTTCTCTTGTTCTACAAGCAGTAAGAAAACTTGTTTACATGTTTGCCCACAAATAATAACACAATCAGCAAAGATGCTCCTGCAAAACAAGATAATGACAATGCCCTTGAGGGATGATGAGTACGCTATCTTTCTCTAAACTAAAATGAGCTAAATATATAACAAATGCAGGGCAACCACTGAATTTCTATTTTATGCATATCTTCTGTCCACATAAGCTTCTTAAACCAACAATCACGAAAATGAACGTATCTGGGACCATCTGACCCGAGGGTCCAATCTTCTTATAGAAGCTAACGTACATTTGAAATTTGTTTTATTATATGCCAAAGCCCATACTTGAACCAAGGTCGAAAAGAAGACCTTCAGTATAATAAACCTGGCCTGAGATAGTGTCAGATGAGTGCTGCTTCATAAACAACGTAACGCCATGACTCTATAATTCAAAGACACTACAAGCAAACTTTATGGCAGGGCTCATTCCTGTTCTAAAAGTTTCGTTCTAAATCTTATCCAATACAAGTGTTTATAGAAGATCTTGACTAGCTGGTTCAGGTGTATTTGATTTGGGTTGGAGGTACACTTTCCCAGAAGTTAAATCTTCAGGAACAGGATTTAGCACCACTTTTATAATGAGCATCCTATTTATTTTTAAAGAGACAAAATGCTTATTGCAGAGAAAAGTATGCAATTGTCTTATCTAATACAGGCAAAAGGCCAATAAACAAATTGTATCTTAACTAACCTGGAAACTGAGGCTTTGCCAAACCTTCCCAAACCAGGCAACCGAGGATAAGAAGTGCAGCGACCTTCATTTTGTCACCGTTTGCAGAAAAACTCGCGTTCCAAGGATCTCAGAAGACTCTAAAATCAGCAGTGAAAAAAAAGTTTTAGTCAATGCTAAAATGTGTCTTCTTTTCCCAATTTCAACTTAAAGTAAGCCGTTCATATGATGATTTGAGCTCTGTGTCCTCGTATTTGTTAGAACGGGCGGAGCTTCTTTTCTCCAGCTATTATAGACCTCCCTGATTTGAAAACAATCATTATTGTTGTCGTTACATTTGGCAACAGAAATTACACACTTCATCTTTAAGCACAGAAAACAACTATTTACCATCCCAAGACTTGTTTTTTTCCATTATAATATTATATTCATGTGTGAAAACAACTGAAATAAGAGGGCAGATTGTTTCAGCTGGGGATGCATGTCACGAAAACTAATACAAACAATCATTTAGTGCCATATTTGAACAATAATTTGAGTAAAGGTCCATCTGCATTATTATTAAACCTCTCTGTCTTCTACTCTTTAGTCAAGGTCACTTTAATGGGATTGAGTGCCATTGCACACAGTGCTTTAATAGCCATGACAAAGCTGATTAACTGGACACCTCGGTTCTAAGGCACAGGAGGACCGCACGATTTCTATTACGAACACAATCAGCTCGAATTCCTCAGCTTACTTCACATCCTTTTGAAGGGGTTCTTTAGTCATTGCACAGAAAACATCAATCAACATCAGGGCCTCAATCAACCTATACATTGCCCATGACCACATGGTGTTGTAAGACCGGAAAAACTGGTGCACTACCAATTTCAGCCGACGGCACGGAACCGTGCGGAACACACCGAGAAGACAAAAACTGCCCGACGGCCGACCATAGAGTGCCGAAGTGATGACGTCACTTGTAGAACAACTCGGAAGCTAGCGGCGCATGGGTTCCCTCGGTCGAAAAGCAATGCATTTTCCCCATAGACTTTTGGAAAATCGCAAAAAATAAGATCTGTGTTTAACAAAGGGTTGTGACCCTTACATGTTTTGTCTAGCAAGATAATCTTTACAAGTTAATCCAAAATTTATACATTTTGAAGCCTATATAAAGATTTTAAAAAACACAATCAGACAAAATAAAGTTTAAAAAACCACAAGCAGGTTATAACTGTGTGTTCTTCTATGTCATAGATCAAAACGTGAAAATATTTAGAGGCTCTGTTCACCACAGACCTTATTTCAGGCGATTTAGCAAAAACCCATTCAAAAATCCCATAGGCTTTAGAGCGAGGGAACCGTAATGCTAAAATGCTAACTCACTTCCGTGTTTTGGCCTACAGAGTGACGTAGTAACTTCGGCACTCTATTGGCTTGGTGTGTTCCATGCTTAACAGACTTTGACTTTATTTTTATTAGAGATAAAAGGAATAGTCAAACATTCACATATATTTAATGATGCACAGATATCATTGAAAAACCTTTTCATTTATGGAGTCAGATGAAATTATGAGTTAGTAGTAAGATAAAATGTATTGCATTTAATTAAAAATCCCTTTGCCATGAGACAGAACACGCGTGAGACTTCTACTTCTAATCGAATACCGCCATTGGATCGAATTAGGCGGCCTTACGACTGGAAAAAAGCCACGTCAAGCATTGATGAAATGCACAGCTATAGGGTTTACACTTTATATTAGGTGTCATTAACTACTATGTAATTACATCAAAATTGTTAGGTATTGTAGGAATCTTCAGCAGGATTCTTCAGCAGGATTCAGCAGGAACATGAGATATTGGTAGCTGCAGTCATCAAGTCTAACTAAAGGAGCTGGATTTTATAGTATTTTATCACTTACACACTTGACTCCCATCAAAGAGGAGAGAACTTAGAATAGAAAACACAAATGGTTAATTGTTATTACACTGTTTCTTTTAAAAATATATTTCCATAGTATACAAGGCTACTTACTGTGTTTAAGTTGTATTGCAAAAAGGATCAATAAACTTGCGGTTCGGACAGTTTTAGTGGATCAGCAAGAAAATTGAGGGAATGGGTGTTTACTTTTCATTTATTAGTACGTAAAGCCCACTTTAAGTACGTTGATCGATACCACAGCAAAAATCTTGTTTTTAATAATTAAACATTATCAAAGACAAGTAAATATTTATTAATAGTGTGTAAATTAAAAAAATAGATAGATTAAGAGTACTTGGAGGTGACTGTGATTACAAGAGGTAAAAATGATATAAATACTGTTCGTTTTCTCACACAAACCGCTCAATTCGTGTCTTAGGCCATCAGTGTATACTTAGATTTACGAGTCATTAAATTATGTTTAATTTGGACTTCTCTGTGCATGATCTTTGAGGAGGACGGGACCCCATATACCTCCATTATATGACTGACAAACAAGAACGGTTTGACCTAAAAATATCACAATTGAAAATACTGTGGTGGAAACAAAGACACCTACATCTTGGATGCCCTTGAGGTAAGCTAAAACATATCAAAAATTAATTTCAAAGTGAACTATCCTTTTTAAGATGTGTTTTGTTGTTTGATTAACAATAATGACTTAGCAGACCATATTAATAGGCTGCTGTCACTTTAAGCCCTATTGAATGAATCTGATACGCATTTGATTTCTTTCTCGACTCTTTATAGTTCACTTATGACATAAAAATGACTGTTTACGAGAATACCTGCAGAGATGGGTTTTTTTACGGTTTTTTTTTTTTTTTGGTGCCGAACCACGGGGGGCTGGTCCATAGGGATCTTGGATCAAGTGCGATCCATTGCAACCCAAGGTTTCAAGGTATGGTTACGTTTAAAGATGGGTTAAGATGTAAGGGAACAATATTGGTCCAAACCCTTTGGTATTTTATTATAAAACAATTCACAACCCTAAAAATCAAGGGGAGGCCAACAACCAACCACTAATGCAAGTAATTTATAACATTTGTTTCCTGTGTTATAATCAACACACCATTGCACGTCGAACCAGTAAACTTCTAGCCACCCCCCACTAGTTCAAGGTTTTTACCATGACTTGAGGCTCATTCACAAGCTAGGTCAAAAACGCAGTGGGGCTCCAGTTGGCAGTACTCTTGAAGCTAGTCTGCAGGTGAAGAAACACAGCAGTGCCAAAACACAAAGGAGCAGCAAACCGGAAAGCAAAGTGGTCAACAAAACAGAAACTCCTTCCCGATTCATGGCATCTGAATGTAGAGATGTCCTTCTCTTGGAAGAGGAAATCACATCCAAAACAGAAACAGAAAACCACCTATCCTTCCGGCACAATGGCCCGGACAACAACCGCGAATTAGAGCTGCAAGTATGTGCTCAGGAGGATTAGATTAGTGTTATTACTGATGGAGACAATCTCCCTTCATGCCTTCATCTTACATAAAGAGACTTTACATTATTTTGAAAGGAACATCAGTGAATGAATAATATGTTCAGAACTATCAAATTCAGTGCTTTCAGTAGGACATGCAATTTCATGTCTACCCTAGAGTGGCATCCTATTTTACCAAAACAAATCAGTTGTTGCTTTGTCAGAACCTGTCTTTGTTTCGTTAATGCCAGTAACCCCCTGAAGGCATAACTACAACTCAAGCATTCTAATAAACAGAACATTAGATCACACGTAACATGATTTACATTTAACTCTTCACATCCTAGAGGCCATTCCATCACAGAACGTCAATACGGACATAAGAATTTTATTAGGCTATACATCTTGGTAAACACGACAAAACAAAACAAAATTAATCTAATTATGCCGATGAGTCTCTCTGACCAACAAAACCTTTTAAGGAAGAGCAGTAATTTTAAATGTTCTCAAGTTTATAAAAACCGAGGCTGCACTGGGCTTTCTATTGTTACATCTACAACTACATTAGTATCCGTGCATACAAATCAGTTGGGCACATGATCAATAAAAAGCTCACAAACGCATATTATGTCTGGGAAGCACTTAGGAAGTTGTAAAACAAAACCTTTCATTCCTGTCCCTGCATCGCATTATTTTCTCTTTATGCTGTTTCTATTTTTCTTCTAATTCTGTTGTGCTCTGATAGACAAGGTAACCTTTTCGACTAGACAACAATCACAAATAAAGCAGAGAAAGACAAAAGTGAGGCACAAGGCTCATAGTCTGACAGAATGTCACAGACCTGTCTCAACAATTTGATCCCTCATCCATACTTTCTAAAGGAATGCCAATGGATTTTTTAATCGTAATTTGGAAGCAGTCATAATGAGATCAATTGGAATCCTTGAAAAATCTTGAACTAAAATTTCTATTTTTCATCTCTCCCTATGTAACCTCTAACAAGGCAAGGCAACACTTCTTTGATTCACATCTTTTTTAAAAAGGCCAACTTTTTTCATAATCTTTTAATATTGATTCTTTAAAAGTGATTAAGTGTTATTATAAAATAGCATTAAAATATAAGAAAAAAAACTTCTGACCACCAAATCAAAGTCATTAAGTCAATATGATGTAACCAACATGCAGGAAGCCATTACACTATCATGTGACACGGACACCATAAAACAGAGAGGACCCCTCCAGAGAGGACCTTCAGGAAGGTGTCAAGGTCATTAAAGTTTTTTTTTAATATCACATATTTTCAACTTTTTTTACATGTCAGATTGAGAAAGCCCAAAAACGTCTTCTTATGCCTGACATGAAATTTGAAGCAAATGTTTTTGCCTTTAAATGAAAGTATTTTTGTAGAAAGGTATTCAATAGGCTACTTGATTGATGTATGCAACCATCATAAATGAGTACATTTCTTCTGTTTTACATATCTCGTCTGACATTTATTAGTCATTAACCTATATTTTGTCTTGCTTTGTCAGCATTAAATCCACAGTTATAATTGTTTTCCCTGGATCCCTGCCACTCGGCTCCCAGTGTCTCGTGTGCAGTGATGCACAGAAAAGCGTTTCCCTGTTCAATTACATCCTTTCATCTTTTGAGATCATAAAATTGGATGCCAACACGAGATTACCGTTAGACAGAACAGGAAACCATCAACATTTCCCACACTGCTGGTCTGGAGCGAGTCATTGTGAATTGCAGTAAAGTTGGAAGAGCGACTCACCGTTATAGGCTACAAACTGAGATCATTCACAACGCAACGTGAGCAACTTGTTGGATTGGATTGAATGAATAACAGCACAACTCCCCAACTCTTCCCCGCGCGTTGTCATTAGAACTCCAGTCACATGAGGCGGTGTATGAACAGAGTCATTCAGCAGATAACCACCGCTAAAAGTGGTCCTGTACTCACCCCTGTGCTCGTGCGCTGTATGTATCCGTGTACGTCTGCGGTTTCAGCAGCACAGGACTCACGTTCACAGTTCTCTAGTCGGGCTTTTATAACGCTACACAACGCGACAGGCAGCCAAAGAAAGAGAGAGAGAGAGAGAGAGAGGGAGAGAGAGAGAGAGAGAGACCCCTGGTTAGTAGTCCACTATTAATAATAGCGCTATCTGAAGCGCGAGCTCCTCCTGTTGATAGGAGCCATTTGAGTTGAAGAAGAACACAGTTCTTCCCATTTATTCGGCAGTTTTATTTTTTTATCCTCCTTCATTCCTGCATTTCTTTATTTGCTTTAAACAACAATATTGTCAAAGCAACAGACATGCCAGATTGCAGATAGATTAACTTAAGAATTATGCAGTGTAAAAGTAGCGTAATGAATATTGAAATGAAACAGGCTATATATATATATATATATATATATATATATATATATATATAAAGGTCAAGTGATGAATCAGATACACAACAAAAACGTGCAGAAGTTTTGGTCAATTCAGTTTTATCGCAGCAATTTAGAAAATAAAATAGCCCAACACAAAAAAACAAAACAAAACAAAAAAAAACACACAAAATTGAACTAAGCTTAAAACTCCCAGGGAATGGGGTTATTAAGAAGAAGAAAAAATAGCCTACATATAGCAACAAATGTGCAACATAGTGTGCACTCATTACCTAATTCATTTACAAGTGTTTCTCTAAGGCAAAAAAGTCGCAAACAACAAGCTTACAAACAAGTTCTCAAGAGACTTCTTCAAATTAAAAATGATGTGCTAATGATGTAAGTGGAAAAGCCCCATAAGGCTTGCGTTTACCTTACATTACCTCTACTAAACTTTCTACCCTGAATTTCTAAACTTCGTTGACATTCTGATCAGACTAACCACAAGATGTCACTATGAACGCAACAATGCGCTTGATTGCCCGTCAACTATCTCGCTCATTGAAAGTCTAATCGGCTGGCCATTGACCCTACATTACTGTGTTTCCCTGTGATTTCCAGCTGTGAAAAGTCTATAGACTCATAATAATCCACATAAACCTCCTAATACCTTTAATAGCGATTTTTGGCGATAAATACGCTACTTAGATTGACATCATGTTTTCACGTGAAAGATGAGGTCATTTCCGAAAGGTTTTGCGTAAATTAACCAAGAATAGCTAAGAAGACTGTAATCGCATTATGACCTAATGCAGGCATTAAAAAAAAAAATATTTTTCCTGATAATCTCTTCTTAAAAAGTACCTCTAAATGGCATTTACTTCATGAATGAATCATTTATGTGAACAAATCTTCCATTTGATTCCAATGCATTGACTGATGCTGCTTCGGAACTGCATAATATAGGCCTTAGGCTAATACTTTTACCACATCTTATAATGGCAGAAATACTAAGACTAGGCTAGTAGATATTTTGGTTCCCTGTTTTCGAAAAAAAGATGGACATTAAGAGGAAACCAGTAGCCTACAGACTGTGAAGGAGCATTTCATTGGTTGGGCCTGCTGAAACAGAATGGATTAAAGGTGACTCTCTTTTAATCATTCTTGGGGATTTTTTATTAAAGCAAATCTCTCCCATGAACTGCCAAAATTCAGACAGCATGTTAGATCTCCCACCAGAGACAGTAATATACTGGAGCACACCGCAATAAAAAATGCATATCACTCTGTCCCATTTGCGGCTTTGGGGCTCTCTGAACAGTCTGGTTGATCTTATACCAACCAAGCAGAAACTGAGATCACTGAGATCAATATAATAAGGCTAATAAAGCAGAGCGGGAATTTTAAGCCTACTTCGCTTGCACTGATTAGAGTGTTTTTGAAGATGCAGCCACCGATCTGGATGAGCTCACATAATACCGTAACGTCATAACACTTTCTGTGGGGATACACATTTCTATCAAAACATTCGTACCATTCAATAATGAGACCATGGGAATCTCAAACAGCTTTATCAGGCCAAAGAGGATTTTTTACAGAAGTGGGGATAAGATCTTGTATTACCACGCCAGAAACAGACTAACAAAGGAGGCTAAAAGAAGATACTCTGAAAAGCTTAAAAAAACAGTTCTTAGCCAATGACCCACCATTAGTCTGGACAGGTCTGAGGAACATCTCCAAGAAAGACAATGCCCCATGATCTGGAGGATTAACAACAGGCTGAGGATCTGAATATGTTTTACTGGTTTGAAAAGCCCAGTCTCACACCCTACACCAGCTCTGATCTGCACTTCACACATACCAACACCTCCTGCAACCCCCCTACTGCTATTTAACCTGCCGTGGAGGACATGGGCCGGATTTTTATATAAAGAAGACCAGGAAAACTTCAAGCCAAGACAATGTTTCACCTGCCTGTTTAAAAGTCTGCGATGACAAACTGACAAACCTGTCGCTCTCACATTTGTGGTCATGAAGTCATTTGAGAGACTGGCGTAGCCGTAGGCCTTATTCAAGCATGAAAACTTAGTAGACCCCCAAAACAAAACCAAGAATTTGTAAATGGCCATAATAAGTCCTCTTTAAAGTCATATAAGGTTGCAAAAATAACAGTTCTGCCATGATATTTGTGGGGAAATGGTTATGAACACTTGTTGTGGAGTATATTAGCAAATTTACTGGTTCTGTAATCTGTGTTTGCATATTTTAATAAAGAACAAAACAACTTGTTTGTGATTTGTTTAGAGAATCGCTAAAATCATGATTCAGTTAAAGTGAGTAACCCAAGGGTAGTAACCTATACTCAGCATTTGTCCTCTGCAAGTAAGTGCACACACATTAGGAGCAGTGAGTAGTGAACACACACACACACACACACTGCAAATCATGGATACACACACCCGGAGCAGTGGGCAGCCATTTTGCTGCAATGCCCAGGGACTCACATGCTCAAAAGGCTTATGCTGCCATGCTTGAATCTTGATTTGAATCACTGAGCAGATCAGATTGTGCAGTGACTGAATTAAAAAATTCTGTATAGGTCTATTTATTCTAATAATAATAGCCTAGTACCTATTAGCAGTACCTAGTACCTATTATAGTAGGCTACCTATTTTAATGAGAACAGAATCTGCCATAAGTGTTTTGGTTGTAATTATATATGGTAAAAGGACTGCATTTATATAGCGCTCTCACAGACCCAGTGGCCACCAAAGCGCTTTACATTTGCCTCACATTCACCCATATATACAGTATGTATATATATATATATATATATATAGAGAGAGAGAGAGAGAGAGTGTGTGACCTCAGTGTGTCTCCCTAATGTCCACCACAGTGACCCTCAGTAATGTGTGTATGTGTGTATATATATGTTAAAACACTGTGGTATCAAACATTCATAGAATTTATAATCTGTTACACTGTTATTTTTTGCAATTAATTTAATTTGTACATTTCAATTTAAGTTGTTATAATACTTTGTTTTTATTGATGTCTTCACTATGCTATGTGTTACAAGCTTTGGCAATATTGTAATATGTACAGTCATGCCAATAAAGCAATTTGAATTGAATTGAATTGAATTGAATTGAATTGAGAGAGAGAGAGAGAGAGAGAGAGAGAGAGAGAGAGAGAGAGAGAGAGAGAGAGAGAGAGAGAGAGAGAGAGAGAGAGAGAGAGAGACCATGATGTAACTGTGGCACTACCTGACAAGAGGCTAATTAATAAAAAAATAAAAATAAATGTACCTATCGACCCTGTGACCAGTGCTGGACTGCCATCAAAGACACGCCCACAGCTAAAATGCCATTGGTCAGACGAATAAAGTGGGGACCTGTTTTGGAATTTGATTGGTTGCCTGAAGTTACTATTATAATCCCGACTGTAGGCTACTATCTCACAGTTAAACTGTGTATATTCGTGTAGTGTGTACGGCATGCTATGTCGTGTCAACAGGGGTATACTGGCTTGGAGTCGTTTGTTACAACCGAAAAATAGCCTATATGTAATATAGCCTAGTAATTACACCAGACAGTGGACTGCTCCATAAGAAAGAGAGAGAGAGAGAGAGAGAGACTAAACATATGGTAAGGAAACGGAACTTTTCCTTGTTTGTTAAAATAACAAATGCTGGACATGTTACTACATTGCTGAATTAGCTTAAAGAATGTTGTATATTTATTTAGCCATATGAATTCGACTATAGGTAGAGCTGTAAATGTAACATTATCAGTAGGGTTGGCCTTCATGTGTCGTCATTCTATCTTTATTATTAGTGCTTAAACATGTGAGTCTTTCTGTCACAAAGAAAGATCCATTTAAAGATGCTGTGCCTATCTGTAAACTATAGGCTAATAATAGTCCCTGTTGATAATGGTAATCACTTCTATTTGTTCTAATACTTTAAGTCACATTATGTGCATTAAGTCAGATCCGTGTGCCGCATTTGAACAGAGGTTACTTATTAGCCTACCTATTTCATCATGATCATGTTTCCGTAGGGCAACATCTGCACGCAGACCAACAGCAGGGCTGTAAACACAGTCTTATGTTCTTCAAATAAAAAAAGATTAAGTTTAATGTTGATATACATATTGCTAATAATGCTTATGAGCAGCGTGCATCAATGACGTACAATTTACTTTGGTTTATATTAAATATATATTTAGGCTAGGCTACTGTAGATCAAGTAATAGAAAGTAGGCTATACTTTTCGGCCTAAATCTAGACACTGATTGCAAGCTGTGCATTGAATTGACATATCATGTTTAGGCAGGTCTTGCACCATTTCCTCAGAGATTAAGTTGTCCTGTGGTTGAAGTTGTTATCTGTAGTGTAATTCTAGAAAGGAAGACAGCAACGGGGAAATCTCTGACATCAGAAGTTGTGACCTTTGTCGTTATCATGAGACTTCATGTTGTTGTCATATGTTCCAGAGCGGAGATCAGCATGCTGTTGTTGGTTCTCTCGACGATCGTCTTCGTAAAACCTCTTTGATTCAGATGCATGGGTTTCTACATTAATAACATGATTATGTCCTAACGGTTTCTGTTTGAATTACATTTTTCACATGTGTTACTGGTTTGTTTGGTTAAAATTGGTATCTGGATCAGAGGGAATCTTAAAGGGATAGTCCACCCCCCAAAATGGAAGAACATTCTGTCATCATTCACCACCCTCATGTTTTCAACCTGTTTGACTTTGTCTTCTTTGGAACACAATATTAAAGATTGTTGGTAAGCAATCGGTTTTGGTTACCATTGACTTCCACTGAATG